GGGTGTAGTTCAAGTGGATACCCACGCACACCCCACATCCACCCACACCCTGAAAATTTTTTTAGCATCAGGAGAAAGCTCGCCCAAAGCTGCGTCTATATATATATAACTCAACAAGATACTATTTGGGGAGCTTATTTAATTTTTGAGCGTAAAGAAGATCACTACCATGCGCAATAGGTCCACATGGACGGAAAATATCAATTATTATTTTATTTAAATTGTTTAATTGTAAGATTGTGTAGAATTGTTTTGTTTATATTGTACATTCACTGTTGTTACTGTTGGTATGTAATTTAGTTATTTTATAATTATAAATAAATATTTAGTTACATTTTAATCTCGAGGGGTCAGTTGTTTTGGACTTCGTACTATTATGCTGTGATTGAAAATCATAGTTCTGTTCAATAGTATACTGTTTAACATAGCTTGAGAAACTTTTGTCGATAGATATCATGCGTGTTATGGAAGCCTCTTCATATGGCTTGCAGTGCCGAGACGATCCGTGGCACAAGTCCGAGTGAACTCGGGTCGTCCAAGTCGATATCCAAAAGTCTATTCGAAAGAGCCTGCCCTTTATGGAATCAGCGCCGGTTTTGAAACCGACGAGAACAGATACTATAGTTTGATCTTAGCTGAAAAGGTCGAGAAGCGATAACTATTTAAATCAAATGAAATCTCTACTGTGCTCTTTTGCATACGCATTACTCGCTGCATGGAACGAAAGAAAATAGACAACGTATGAGAACAACGTAGATATCGTGCCCCACAGGCCCACGAGTAAAGTTGTTTCTTACTACTTATCAAGAGATTTTCCTTTGATCATGACATCTTCATCAGTATCATTATTTAAAAGATGTGCAAATTCTCTTTAACAACAAGATGATGCATTTGCTTTTTCTGATTCAAATGAAAATTGTCAAAAAGTTGAAAAAAAATGTCATCACAAAAAAACAAATCGATCAAAAGCAACGTGTGATCGACCGAAAACATCTTCAGATCTTACAAGCGATTATCATTGATCAAGTGTCTCTTCAAAATCAAGCTTTGTAACGTTTATAAATGTTGTCGAAAAATTACAAGAACGTTTTCTCAATAGACAAACTGATGTAATACTATTAGATGAAATTATTGAAAGATCTTGTCTTACAATTGATCCATCAGATAAACATTCGCTCGCTTTTGAAGCATTTTTATCAAATGAAATCATTGATGTTAAAAGAGTTGATGACATTAACAAATTTGTATATAAGCCAGCAATTGGTTTTAAAGCTCCAATAAAACTATATCCTCTTAGTCACTTAAAATCACGACATGAAAGTTGTGAAAGAGCTGTAACTGTTGGTGATATACGAGATACAATACTGAAAGCAAGAGCTGATAGTATAATTGATAGTTTAATAAAAAGTAGTGATGTTGTGAAAGTTACGAATAATAAAAAAGAAGTTTTATTTTATATTGATCGTGCTTATGCTCTTCGTGTTAATCCAGAATTTATTGAATCATGGAAAATAATATAGATTGAAGGTTTTAGATGACAAGAAGATTTTGGAATTTCTTGATAATAAGGGATATTATTATTTGATAAAGAATGCACCATGACAAGCACAATAATCAACAAAATCATCGAAACGAAGAGATCGACATCTAGATACAATGAAACATAATCAACATGTTGTGCATCAACTCGAAAATTATTTCAATACATGAATCAAAATAATATGTAGAAAATCTTTTTTTCTTTTCGAATATATTTCTATCGGACTAATATAATTCTGATCAAAGCCAAAAAAAGCTTCATACTCTCAAGCGAATGACTTCTTTTTTTATATTCAGAATAAAAAGAAATACTTATATTTAAAGTATTACAAAGCAAAACTCTGATCAAATACATGTTGCAATGACGAAAACGACTGAGTTAATGGCAACATAAGCCTCTCAGAGCAACACTTATAACAAATAAAACGAAAGTAAACGCCATAATCTCGTCATCTAATCTAGCACATAACGTCCATACATATGAAAAACGATGTTTACCAGTTACCAAAATGTCTCCTGTCAATAGTTGACCATTTTCCTCAAAAAAACGGTACACTTTCACTCAATGTCAACATTAGGGTTCGTTGCAACTCATGGTTAGTTGGAAAAAATCTCATATAACTCGACAAACGGCTGATTCATATGTAGTTATGCAAGATAATGCTATTCTTGTGTGAAGGAGCAGTGTAATACATGTGTTCATCTTCTTCGAAACAACATCATGAAAGTTACATTTCTCCTTTTCTTTCTTTCTTTCTCTTTATTCTTTACTTTGAGCACTCTGAAATAATAATAAAACTGAACAAAGAAAGATGAACACACGCACACAAATACAAGAGACAAATATAACACATGGTAGAAAGACTACTAAAGAATAACAGATTATCCATGTTCTTTTTATTTCCATTGTTTCTAAGTGTTCATCTGAATATATATTTAATATAAGGAACATCTTTAACATCATTTCCTTCAAGATCAGTACATAACATAACCAATGTAAGACAACGAACATTAGCAGGAATCTTTGTTTTTGTCACCATTTCAAACAGTTCAGAAATTTTTCGTTTCATGTCTTGTGCTATACTTGTTTGACGAATGAAATGTGGACAATAAATAACGGACATTCCTGCTGAAACCATGTTCGGTACCAATTTATGTTCATGTTTGAAGTATTCAATAAATTCTTCTAATGTCATATCACCTTTTACTTCAAATCGATCCCATAAAGTAAAATCTTTATCAAGATATTTTTGATGTTTTGGTGGTACTGGTTCAGAAAATCCAAAAAATGGTAAAGCCAAATTAACAAATGCATTTCGATATGATTCTATTTTTTTATGATGTTGAACAAATTTATAAACTTCAAGACAAACAAGTCCAGTAACCATTGCTGTTGTTGTTGCAATAGCTGGAATAATATTTCCTGCAATTCTCTTAATTTTACTTCGATCAGCTTTTTGTATTTCATAATTTTCAGCTCGTAAATTTGCTGTTGCTACAATATAATCCATATGAAAATTTGTATCATCATCTTTTTCAAATTCATGTGATTGAATTTTAATATCAAGTATATCATCATAATTAAGTAATCGACTAAGGAGTTGTTTGACTTCTACATCGTTTTTACATTGACTATTTTTACACATTGCACTCGTATTTTTTTGTCGTTTGAGATCAGCTCGTAGTTGTTCATCATTTTCATGTATTATTACATCTGCTTTTGGTTTAAATTCAGGTACATATATTTTTGCAACTTCTTCAGCAATTAATTTACGGTCACGTATTTGTGGTATGTAATACATGTGTGCAAGTAAATTTGATGCAGCCACAATAAAATCCAAATGAAGTTCGTTATTAACATCAAAGTTTAAAACATGTGGACATCGTTTATTTTCACTCCAAAAACGTTCACCTTTACTTGTAATATGATCATATGGAAAATTATAAAGTAATTGAGTGATTGTATTATGAAATTGTTGTTCGAAAAGATTTCGTGACCATTTAATACAATTAGTGAAATTTTTTGGTCGTTCTTCACCAAGAATACGTTTAATATTTTCAATTATTTCAGTTTTGTCATATTCTGAATGATTTTTAGTTGTTCGTTCGGCAAATTCTTTTGGTCCTCGCAAAAAATCTTCAGCTTGTTGAGGAGGAATTGTAAAGAGACCAGAAAAATTATCACGTGCCCATTCAATTGTATGTTCAATTAAATTTGGAAAATGACGTAAAGTACACATTGCTACTGATAGATCAGGTGGATCATTAGCGGATGAATAGGATTCAGTAGGAAATGGAACAATAACTTGAACACTTGCTTTTGTACCTAATGTACCACTATCAATCAATGGTTTTTGATAATAAACACACCGTTGATCAATATATTGACGAGCTTTGACGTTATCAAGCGCATTAACAACACCATCCAACCGTTCAAAAAAATGATCATCATAAATATGTTCTGTTTCTGGTAAAACTCCATCAACATATGCACTAACATTCATATTTGGATTCATTGCTTTTACTACTTCAGCGGCAACTATCGATTTCATTTTGCCAATATCCCATGAACGAAATAGAAATTGTCGATTTAAATTTGATTTTTCAATTGAATCCATATCTGCTACGTAAACATGACCATGCTTTAAACATCCAATACCCATCATAGCAAAGTTTTTTAACATCTCACAACCAATTGCACCTGAACCAACTACAAAATATTTAGATTTCCCTAATTTTTCTTGAAAATCTTCACCAAAAACAATTTCCTGTGAATAATATCGTGAAAGTTTTGTTGGTAATTTTGGTATTATATTCGATTCAGTTGTTGTTTCATTTGATAGTTGAAATATATTTTCAGGTAAACATTCAATTGCATCAAAATAAAAAAATTGTCGAATTGGCATAAATTTTCCTGTTACTGCTTTCATTGCTTCTTGAGCAGCAATACCACCAATAATAGCTTGCATTGGACATAAATCACCAGTACATGTTTTAGCAAATAATTTTATCCAATGTTTATTTAATTCATCTGTCAAGACTTGTTCACGCTTTAGTTTTTCAACTATTTCATAGAATTTATCTGCATCAGCATTATCCCATGGTTTTGGTAATGCATTGTATTGTTTTTCAAAGTATGATAAAGCTTGAAATGCTAAATGAAGATTAGCTGGCATTGACATTTTAGAAAAATCACAAACTAACATTTCAGGATCTTTTAATGATTCAGAAAACGATTTAAAATGTACTATTTCTGATTTTTTCACTTCAGTTACAGTTCCACCACTTTCATAAGAACCAAAACTTCTTGTATCACCAATTGTAAATGTAAATGGACTGGTTACAGAAATTTTAAATTCTCGATCATTAACTTCAGTCATTCCTTTTACACCATGGAACGTCACATACGAACCATCTTCGAAACCATGTCTTGTATGTGTTGGTGTAAAAACTACACCTACTTCATCATGACTAATTTCTGTCACAATTTGTGTTAAAGGATGTTCACCATTTGTATCGAGTACTTCGAAATTGAGACCAAAATCACAAAAGATTTGTCCAAATAAACCTTTTGTATTTGCATTGATAAATTTAATTCCATGTTGATGACAATAATCACCAATTTTTATTTGATCATCCAAATTAGCATCAGTAAGAATAAAGACATTGACTTTATTCTTTTTAAGAAATGTTTCATCAATAATTGTTGAAAAAAATGTTACATTAACATAACTATTTAATTCAGTTAAATGTTTATTGGCAACTTTAGCACGATTTTGACCAATGTTTGATTCAGTAAAATAATATTGTGATGATAGGTCTCTAAAATCAACATTACCACAATCATGAACAATAACTGATTTAGCACCACATAATATAATATTTTTAGCTATTTCAACACCGAGACCACGCATGCCTGATATAAGAACATGAGCACTAGCTAATTGATGCATAGCTTCTTTACCCATAACATAAAGTTGTCGAGAATAAAGACCTTCATCGATTTCAGAAGTTTTTGACGATGATGTTGACGTTTTTTGTGTTGCTTGTGAATCATTATTCTCACTATTCCCATTATAATTCATTTCTTCATTAGTGTGCTTCATAGTTTCAAGAAGATTTGTTGAATTACTATTTGATGACATGATCGTTGGATCACTACTGTTACTAATAAGTGTTGTTGATGATTTAATTTTTTTTGATTTAGACAAATCAAATGCTTCGTGACGTTGATTATCACTATTGTCGGTAATAATAGTATGTTCGTGTTCAGACACTGTAAGAGTGGTAACTCTAGTTGTTCTAACTAAACTTACTTCACCTTGATTTGATGTAGAGGCTTGTGGCGTGATAGACATCAGCAAATCACAATCAATATCAGACTTTGTCAAATTTTAGATGCGTTATTTTAACCGAATAAGTGTCGTATATGTTAATGAAATAGGATCTTTGCGTAAGCTGTAATAAGCAATCCTTCTCGTAGATATGTGGCGCGCGATATCTGCTTTGTCCTTAGACTTATTATGTAAGAAAGACAGAACGCAAAAGTGAAATATGTAAGAACAGGAGAAATGTCGTGCTCTGCATACAGACAAGAGAAGTTGCTTATTACAACTTACCAAGAGGTAAATGATCCAATCTGATCAAATACATGTTGCGATGACGAAAACGTGCGGTTTGGTGGCAACACTAGCCTGCCAGAGCAACATTTCATAGTACCAAATAGAAAATACTTGTCAGGTATCATGACACTTTAACTCGTTGTATTTTGTTGACCATATGGTTTTAAGTGACGAACTGCTACTGTAGAATATATTATTTTCGTTACATTTTGCGCGATAGGAGTGTTGTGCAATTATATGGTCCTAAGTTTCTTTCATAAAATATCTAACTGAATATGACTCAATCGTATGAAAGTGTTTTTTGTGATTTAAGTGCATTATGCGAAGATAAGATATTGTCAGTCACATGTTGGAAAGGA